TTGGTGTTTACATCATAACACTTAACAATATAAAAAAGCTGAAAAGTAAATAACAGAACTAGAATAACAGAATAACATAACAGATAGACTAGGTATATTCTACCCTACGGACAGAGTGGCCCCACAGCTGTGGGGCCCACATCAGTTTCTCTACAGTACGATCATGTTGAACAGGATTGTTAACAATATTTATGGTTGCTTGATTGTCACAATATCATTGGAGTATCTGTTTGGATGCCCATCTTAGTCGATAAGGTCTTCAACCAAAGTAGTTTAGAAACTCCATGAGCCATTGCCTTGTAAGTCCCTATTAAGGAAGGTATTTTTCACATCCATTTGATATAAAGGCCAAGAGTAATAGGCAGCAAGAGACGTGATCACATGAACAGAGTTCATTTTAGCAACTGGAGCAAAGGTTTCCAGATAATCAATGCCATAAGTCTAATTGTACCCTTTGGCACAAGTCGAGCCTTGTACCTCTCAAGCCATCTGCCTTGTGCTTAACAGTGTAAACTAGGAATGGCAACAGGGCGGGTATGGGGCGGGGCATCCCTTCCCCATCCCTGCCCCGTGGCTAAAATCCCCTAACCCATCCCCGCCCTAACCCCGGTATCGGAGTAAAGATTCAACTCCCATCCCTGGCCACATTGAGTAGGGGAATCCCCGACATGTACCCGCCTTGCTACCATTGAACTCGGGGACGGGTAATCCCCGACATACCCGCCCCGTTGACTGTAACTCCAAAATCTGTTCTACTCTCTTGCTTTCTTTTCATTTAACTAAGGTTGGTTTGATGCTGCTGTCAAATCTACAAGATGACATCAATAGATTGTTTTCTAAACACTAAAGATTGGTTCAGTTATAAACACTAAATATTGTTTTCTCGTATCAAATTTTTATTTTATTTTATTGAACCTGTTTTCAACCTTTCATAATTTCATTCAAAGTTTAATGTTATGGTCATTGTTGGAGTCATGGAATGCTTTAAATAAACCATGTCTTTAGATGAAAATGGCACAAGGGATTGAAGTTCACACAATAACAAGCAGGAAATCATTAATCAATTTCAAAACTTGTAAATGATAAAATGATTTTGGAATAATCATACCACTGCAAAGAATGATTCTAGAATATGGAGTGGCCGAGTAGAGGGAAAAACAGAGAGGACGGCGGTCTCAGTGTCTCATTGCTGCTATGGCGGTCGGTGGGCGATTTGAGACTAAGAGAGGGAGAATGGGAGCACAAACCCTCCTCGGCAGTTGATGGCCGAATTGTGAGAGGGAGAACGAACTTTCATTCTCCAGTGGTCGGTGAGCGAATTGTGACTGAGAGAGGGAGAATGGAGCCAAAAGCTGAAAAGCACAAACCCTTCCCAACAGTCAACGACCGAACTGAGACTGAGAGAGGGAGAACGGACTTCATTCTCTGGCGGTCGGCGGGAAAACTGTGATGAAGTGAAGTGAAGTGAAGTCTGAAGAAGAAGAGGTGAAGTCGTGAAGATGAAGTGATGACGGACTGTAGTCTGTGGTCTGCCAAACTAAGAAGAAAGTGGCCGAGTAGAGGGAAAAACAGAGAGGACGGCGGTCTCAGTGTCTCACTGCTGCTATGGCGGCCGGTGGGCGATCTGAGACTGAGAGAGGGAGAATGGGAGCACAAACCCTCTTCGGCAATCGATGACCAAATTGAAAGAGGGAGAACGGACTTCATTCTCCGGTGGTCGGTGAGCGAATTGTGACTGAGAGAGGGAGAATGGAGCCAAAAGCTGAAAAGCACAAACCCTTCCCAATAGTCAACGACCGAACTGAGACTGAGAGAGGGAGAACGGACTTCGTTCTCCAGCGGTTGGCAGGCAAACTGTGATGAAGTGAAGTGAAGTGAAGTTTGAAGAAGAAGAGGTGAAGTCGTGAAGTCGTGAAGATGAAGTGATGACGGATTGTAGCTTGTGGTCTGCCAAACTAAGAAGAAAACAAAACCTAATTCAGTAACTTACAAAATCTATATATATAAGGGCATTAGTGTAATTTACAATCGGGTTTGGGAATTTATATGTAGACCCCATTCCCGACCCATCCCCATTTTTTATCAGGGAAAATCTACCTTTTTCAGGTCAAGTCGGATCGGGGACCTGGTTTTGTGGGTAAACTTGCCATCCCTAGTGTAAACCCACTTACACCCAATAGGAATCTTATCCTTGGGTCAAGGAATAATCTCCTAAGTATAGTTCTTTATTAGGGCCTCCATCTCTTGGTTCATAGCTTCCTTCCAATGAGGGTACTGAATTGCCTCTGTAACACTGTAAGGGATGGAAACAAAAGAAACGGCAGAAATATAGGCACGATAGGAGGGTGAAAGAGCATCATATGACACATAGTTAGTAATAGGATACTTGTCGCATGTCCTCTTCCCTTTTCATAAGGCAATAGGAAGATCAAGGTTAGGATCAATAACAGAATTATCAGGAGACTCAAGATTACTTGAGTTCGAGATATCAGATTGTCATGAATGTAAAACGACCAAAAAACTAGGAAAGTGGAAAAATAAAGGGAGAAGAAAATCTCCCAAAAATTGTATAGGGCTTAGAAAATTACGGGACCACTTCTTGTCACTCCCAAAATGTAAAACAACCCAAATGGTCTAGGGTTTGAAGAAGAAGAAGAAATCATGTTCTCAAGCATTCTCAACAATTTCAATGGAAAGAAATCATGTTCTCAAGCAAATGCATACCTCTCATGGTTCACGGGTCGGTCCACGGGGAAAACCTCCTATTTTCCCTTGTTCCTTCCTGCTCCTGATGAACCTATCTTGGCGCCTCTGGTGATTTGTTCAAGAGATCACCAACTCTCCTAACTCACTTCTTTAACTGAATATTCGATATCCTCATTCAATAATGGTGTCTCCTTAAATAGGAGATTACAAGAGTCCTAATCTTAAGGAATCTCCTTGCTGAATAGGGAGACTTCCAGTTCTATCTTGCTAAGGATAAGATAAGCTAATCCTAATATGATAATCTACTAACAAGATAAGATAAGAGCAATAAGATAAGAACAAGCAAGATGATCCAATCTAATCTAGATAAGGCTGCTGTTTCCGAACTGGGTAGGATGAGAATCATTGAATCACTGCTGCTGCTGGCGGTGGGTCAGGTTCCTGTTGCTACCGGCGGCGACGGTACGTCTTCCCGAGGAATGCGTCCATAACAGTTCATGACCTATCTAACTACTTCTTGAGTCCCTTCTTGCTTCTAACTTATGAAGGACTATTGCTTTAAGGAAAAGATCATTTAATGCACATTGTAAAAGTGGGAGTTCATTCAATAGCCAAACTCACTAATTACGACTACATCCAACTTGGTGCAGCTATCTCCAGTTTCCCAAAGTTAAATTTGAATGGGCTTTCCTAGACATCATATCCAAAAAGGTAGATCCAACCAGGCATAGGAGGAACACGTAAAAGCTTACTCTTCATACCCCTTCTCCAACACCTCTAGAAAGGATTTCAGCATCTCAGTTAATTGATCATAGAACTCATCTGAGAATTAGTTGCTCTATTTCCCTAGGTTATGATTACTGACAAATCATACTCAGGTTCTAGGACTCTAGGACCTATTCTATAAGATTATTAAATCCGCTGCAGCTTATAACCAACTACTTAGTGGCATTTTCATAGCTCTATTTTTTTTTCAAAAAGTATGAGAAAGATTGGTCTGAAGTGGGTAAGGCACATCAAAGATCCAAAGATTAATTTCACAGAATCATGGAGCAATTTCTTTAATGCAGTTTATAATCTTGTGGTTAGGCCACAAGTCACAACAGTGAATCAAGAATGAATTTTTTGCTATATACAGGTTAAGGCTGTGATTTTGAGTCCCAGTAGAGATGAATGATCCAGACATTATAGTTTGATCTTAAAATAATCAAGACATCTTGTAGTATTCAATTCAAAATACATAAAACTTGCATGCAAATATGCAATACAATGAAATCCATGAAATACAAATTGCTTAAAAAATGCACCTAGCTATTAGTAGTTTTCTCAATAGAAAAAGAAGAAACTGACCTTGTTACCAATGTAACCCATAACACCAACGCCAACAGTAGATACCTTCAGGTTTTGAATATGTCTCCTCAAGCTTCTGCGAACCCATATAGAAAGGAATATCCCTACCATTTGCTTACTTACTATTCTTACAAATGGTGATCTTTTCTTCTGCTGTAATAAAGGTTCCCGATCAAATTTTGCAAGCAAAGCTGTCTCTGATAACCATCTATAATTCCAATTCATAGATGTTGACTTGAAAGAATAAGGCAGCCTCAAAGACTTAGATGCTCCAAAAGATTTAACTGATTTAAAGGGAGTTTGTTTATTGAAAACATGCTTAGCTAGCAATTCCATTGGGGGCTCTGGCCAGCTCAAACCAATCCTTTCTCTCCCACTAAGTGTTTTGGCCAGTTTTCCTTTTTGTTGGGAAAATGATGCTTCAGAAATTCCAATAGAATTCTCTACAGAGAAACAATTTAATCTATCCAATCTCTTTTGTTTAGGAAACTGTTTCTGTAAATCATCAACCATGGATGATCCTGCATTAGCATGTCCAGTCTGATTTACAGCTGTCATATCATTTAACTGGTTTGTACTCATGGTGGGTCCATCCACAATTTCATCAAAATGATCACATTCTTTATCAACTGGCTGCTCTATCTCATCGCTATCACTATCAGTTTCAGGCAGTATTTCATCTTCAATATCTGGGACTCCAGCTGATGGCTTAAACCTCGATGGAGAAGGAGGATCACTATAACACTTGAACTTTTCTCTAACTGGTGGAATTCTATTCAATGTTTCACGAATGATACTCTCCCATTTTGGAACTGGGCGACTATCCTCAGCGCCAAAAATGTTCCCAGCATTTAGTGGGACAATCTCTTGAAAACTGCACTAATAAGGAATTATTATAATTCTAAGTCAAACACCACCAAACATAAAGTTTGAGTTTTCAGACAATAATGTTGGTGAAATAACTAGTGGATGAACAAATAGGGAAAAAAACTCCATTGTCTAGAAATTCCAAAAACCCTATCATTAAAACATTTATGCATGTCCGAAAAAGTTAGGACAACTATGCTGAAGAGAAGACAAAATGCTTGCACAGGAACAGTTTATCATCTTAACAAATAAAATCAGAGTTAGCAGAATTTTGGAAAATAAATTCCAAAATTTACCCAAGCACATATATATCAGCAGGCTTATCCATATCTAGCCAATCTTTGATATCTAGATCATCAGGTGGAAGTTTCCCTCCAACATTCCATGTCCCAATGCAAATCCTAGAAAGAAAGGAGAAGAAAACCTATCAGAGTATGGATCGAAGATTGACTAAAAAAAGTACTAAGACATACTTGTAATTGGAAAAAAAAAAGAACACTACAGTTTTTGACCCAGCTTCATCACACATGAGAAGAGCAACCTACTTGAGTTCTTTGGTGTCTATGTATTGAGACCGAAGGGTCTCTGAGTTCTGTCTCCTCAACCTGGGAAAAGTATCAGAGGTCCCTACAAGTTAAATCCAAGAAATTATTGAATGGAAGAATGTGACAGTATGACAATTCTGCATAAAAATGAATAAAAGGAAACACGGAATTAAAAAAAAAATAACGATAAAAGACTAAGCATATCCCCAATAAAGAATACGAAGCAAAAAAGTTACCTTATAAAGAAAAGCAGACACATACATGGAATAATAATATTCATGCTAATACCTTCAGTAACAAGAAAAACAAGAAAGTGTGCAAGGAATTAATAATTTCGTAGGAAATTCTCACTTTTCTCCATTTTCTCGTTTATAATTAAATTTTAAAGTTGCTTCAAGTGTTATAAACAATATTCTCATAAGGATTAAGGACTTGCCTTTTGGTCATTCACTTAATAGAGCTAACTTTTTTCTCCCCCTTCAAGTAAAAACCAACTCATTCCGAAGGCCAGGTTGTAGAGAGAAAGAAGGAAAATGGTTGGGGAGTTGGGAATAGTTTTCCTTTTCACAAGGAAGACCAAGATACTTTTACTGCTACACATATGGGTAACCAATAGAAATAAAAATAAATAAATTGATATGTACATTACCATTTGGATAGAATTGAAATTCATTCCCTTTCTTGCCCCAATAGGATTCTGCAAAAACTATCATATAATCAACGTTTATACATCTTCAAACACGAAATTCAAGAAAAAAACCGAATAAAGGGTCATTCAAACTCGAGTTCCTCATACCAAAACAGGAAAAATGACACCCAAATTAGGTTTTCTTACTGTTTCTTCTCCTCACCTTCGAGATCAAAATCGTTGTCGCTATCTTCGTCTGTATCTGCGCTGTAATCAGAACCTTCCGTGGTAATGTTGAGCCACTTCCTTAGAACAACTCTGGGCCAGAAGAGCTGTAGGCACGAGCAACCGAAACAACAGAGTTCAGCCCAACTCCACTGCAATTTCCCGATTAATATAGAAAAAAAAAAAGGAGACAAAATCGTCCAAGAAAAATTAGTCAAAGCTTCAAAGAATCCCAAAAGAATGAAGGAAACCCAGATGATGATGGTTTAGAAAAAGAAGAAAAAGAAGAAGAAGAAGAAGAAGTGTACCTCGGATTGTTTTCTCGGTGACTGCTTCATTTCTGCAAGAGAGAGGGAAACACAGAAATCGAGAGGGCAATAAGCACACCCCCAGTTCTCTCACTGTCAATATTAACTGATCCAGAGAAAGGATCACAAGCAGTTAAGCTTAAGCGAGAAGAGTAGCAGTTGTTGAAGATTGGACTCGAGAGGGGGGTGTGCAGGTTAACAATAAATAAGCGGTTGAAAATAACGGCCATGGGAGGAGGTAGATTGCTCGTTAGATTCATTCAAAGTCTCAGGCTCTCGGGGTTCTCAGCTCTCAAAGAGTGCCGCCGAGACGCTGAGTGAGACACGCGCCCTCTTTCTGACTTTCTCTTACCAAAAACTTCCATTTACTTTTTCTTTAAAAAAGGAAAAATTACTAGTAACTACCATCTACTTTGACTGATGACACTTAAGGGCCCGAAATTTTACTCGCGACAGAAAACTACTCTATATTTTCATATTTTAATATTTAACTGGTGAATGACCCCCGTATTAAGTACGGGAAGTTCATTATATATATATATGAATAAACATTAATGATTTCATATATATATGAATAAACATTAATAATTTTTAGTACCATTTTTTATTATTGTTTATAAACTGTCATTTCTTAAGACATTCATACAGTTTACGGCTCCACATAAATTGACCCTTATATGTCAAACTTGTAAAATTATACGGGTCACTAAATTCAACTTGAACCATTTATTACTTTAATTTAACCATTATTATTATTATTATTATTATTATTATTATTATTATTATTATTATTATTATTATTANAAATTTGTAATTATTTAAATATTTACTTAAAATATTTTTTCCAACTAACTATAATTATTATATAATAGATTTTTTAATTCATATTTTGCATTTAGAAACATTAATGATTTGGCTTAGCAATTTTAATGATTGTTAATAAATATTGATTCTTATTTAAGGTTTAATTACTGTATTCGGTAATTATTATGGGGCATGCTTTGAATAAACATTGATGATAATTGATGATTGTTATTTTGTTTTTTTATTATTTACTTAATTAAGTACTTGATTATTATTATTATTATTATTATTGTTGTTGTTGTTGTTGTTGTTGTTATTAATTATTTCTATAAATAATTGATTGTTATTATTATTTACTTAATTCAGTAATTTTTGGCAAGTAATTATTTGTTTAATTTGAATTATTTCATTTTTTAATTATTTATAATAGATATTTAAGGTAGTCTATTTATTTGATTTAAGAGACTTACCATGTTTTATCTAGACAATGACCCCAAACCAAGTAAGGGACAAGTACAGTATCATTTAATTTGAAATTTACTATTTAACAATAAAAAATCAATGCCCTATTGAGCAACCCACCCCCAAAAAAAGTATCAATAACTTTGAAATCATTAATCTATTTATAAAATAGTAAAATTAGATGGATGTTTAAAACAATATCACTAATACTGCTTAATATTTAGGGACATATGAATGGATAAAATGCATTTAAATAATATCCACTCAAAGAGGCAAAGAATGAAGAAAATCATTCAAAGAGCTGCTAAGAAAAACAATCCATGCCAAACAACATTTGTAGATGCATCCATCCTCTGAAATACGAGAAGAAAAATATATCACGTATGGTTACAATCAACTAATAATTTAATCAGGACTCCAAAGTCCATCCAACAGAGGAAACATGAAAAGAAAGGAGAATAATGAGACCATTCTAAGTATGGAAGTCACCTCCAAGTTAGGTGGCAATGTTTCTTTTGGTCGATCATGGTTACGGATTTTAAGTTTAATCTCCCCACAGTGCACGTAGACTGGCTCGAATTTATCTTTAGGAAAAAGGTAGGGAAACATGCACATAACAAAATGGTATGTTTGAATTATGGGAATTGGGAGATAGAAATAAGAAATGTAGGTTGAAATTATAATTTTGGGCATGTTGATGTGTCAAATTCAAGTCAATTAGAATACTCATAGATTTTTAGTTCATTCACTTAGTAGCAATTTGAATATTTTTTTATTGCATGTCTTTATTGAGTAATATAGATTAATAATATATTAATAATTATGAAATCAGTAATAATAATAAGTATATTATTATTACTATTATTTACTAATAATATATTCTTATTATGTSTGTATTGATTTTGAAATCAGTAATGTTAAATTATCATTATTATTATTATTATCATTATGAAATGATTAATTTGTTATAATTATGATTTTTAGATAATTCCTGAAATAATAATTGCTTTTATATTTCTTTTAGTTTAACAGTAATGGATAATTGCAAGTTTATAATTTAACTTTAATCATATGAAATATTTATTGGAGAATAATAATAGTATTAATTATAATTAATAATAATAATAATGTAAATAAGTAACACTACTTATATATTTATAAAATAATTAATATAAATAAAAAATGATTTTATACCGATTAATAATTAACATTATTAAAGTACTTATTAATTATCATTAATTAATTAACATTCCGAAGTAATAATTATCATTATTATAATTAAGGAATTAATTATCAGTAAGTAATTATAATCAGTAATTAAATTTTATCAGAAATCATTATTATTAGTAATAATTAAGTATAATTATTGATAATAATAGTACAAATATATAGTTATAGTAATTAATATAATTATTAATTATAATTACTAATAATAATATAATTAATTATTTCATATAAATGTATGAATTATAATTTCTGCTAATAATTCTCATACAAATAATTAACATTAAATATTTATTTTCAAAATAATTAATATGAGTTTATATAAATATAAAATGATTATTTTTGAATTATTAATTACCATTATGAAAATCGTTATTAATTATCATTCCGAATTAATAATGAGAAATATTATCAGTGATTATTTAATATCAGTAATTAAGTATTAGCATTAATTATCATAAGAAATTATTATAAGTAATTAATTATTATCAGTGAGTTATTATTATTAGTAACTAATAGCTGAAATTAATTAATTATTATTAGTACTCCTCCCTTTCAAAAAGTTGACTCATCATCAATGACAACATCTTAATAAATACATAATTTGATAAAAATAGGTAAATATCATTAATTTATTTTTTTTATCTTTTGAAAAACTGAATAAGAGAAAAATAAAATGGTTAGCATTGCAAATGAAAAATTATTTGGATTTTTGTAAAAAAAAATTATTGAACATAAAAAACCAATTATTCAAAAATAAAGTCTTTAATCAAAGAGTATTTAAAATTATTTAGTAAATAATAATTTTAAGAAATTAAAATTATTAATTAATTATCTCTCCGAATTAAAATGGGTAATTTCAGCAAATAATTTTAAGTAATTAAAATTTTCTATTAACATTTTTTAATAATAATCAGTATTATTAATAGATTAATAATATATTAATAATTATGAAATCGGTAATAATAATAAGTATATTATTATTATTAACTAACAATATATTCTTATTATGTGTGTATTGATTTTGAAATTAGTAATATTAAAGTATTATTATTATTATTACTACTACTATTATTATTTTATTTTTATTTTTATTAAGTAATTAACTTGTTATAAATATGATTTTTAGTTAATTCATAAAATAATATTTGCTTTTATAATTCTTTAAGTTTAACAATATTGAATAATAGAAAGTTTTATAATTTAACTTGCACTAAATGAAGTATTTATTGGAGAATAATAATAGAATTAAATATAATAATAGTATTAATTATAATTACTTGCAACAATAATAATGTAAATAAGTAACACTAATTAGATATTTATAAAATAATATTAATATAAAATGATTATATCTCAATTAATAATTAACATTATGAAAATACTTATTAATTAATTAACATTCTGAAGTAATAATTATCATCATTAGCATTAGTAATAATTAATTATAATTATTGGTAATAATAATAATATAATTATATTAACTAATATAATATTATTAATTATGATTACTTATAATAATATGATTATTTCATATAAATGTATGAATTATAATTTTTTATAATAATTAAAATTAAATATTTATTTTCAAAATAATTAATATGAGTTAATATAAATATAAAATGATTATTTCCGAATTATTAATTACCATTATGAAAATATTTATTAATTACCATTAATTAATCATCATTTTGAATTAATAATGAGCAATATTGTGAGTAATAAATTATCAATAATTTAGCTATATTTATTATAAGAAATAATTTTCAGTAATTAATTATTATCAGTGAATAATTATTATTAGTAATTAATAGCTAGAATTAATTAATTAGAAGTAGTTAGCAGTAAGTAATTAGTAATTAACAATAATTATTATTAGTAACTAATAGTTGTAATTAATTAATTAAAAGTAGTTAATAGTAATTATTATTAGTAATCAATAGCTGGAATTAATTAATTAGTTTAGTAGTTAGCATTAATTAATAACACAATTTCCTTTTTCTTAGGAAATGATTTAAAGTGGGAGCTTTCCACTTCACACAACTTTGCATGGTGGTAGGCTCCACTCTCTATGTTAGTGAGCTCTTTTCTTGAATTTCCATTAATCAAAGTTTCACAGGTGTTCATTTTGTTTAAATCTTTGGAATGACATGTGTCTGCATGTAAGTGAACCACATGTCTAACTGTAGGGGAACCAGCCGTTAAGTAGGGCTTTCAAAAAAAGCCATGAAGTAGCCAAAAGATTCTCATAAAAGAGATGATACCTGAAAAAACTTTAACCAACCAACAGGTATAATAAAAGTGGTAATCAATCACTTGGGTTTTCATTAAAATTTATGGACTATTTTGATTGGTCAAATTTTTCTGATATTACATCTTTTCAGCATTATAGATTCTTCAATACTCTTTTCATAATTTTAGAAATATTTTACCCTTTCATTGAGCCTTAAAATCCTACTTCTTAACCTTTTCTATCTTCTTTCACACACTTGGACAAGGAGAGCTTGAGGTGATGTTTGGCATCGTGCCGTTTACAGGCGTTATATCAAAGAAAGTGGTGCTTCAAATAACACTCTCTTATTTGGTATTATTTTTCTAGAAACCACGCATTGAAAAATCGGGAAAATATGGTTTGGAGCAATGCCAAATTCAATATTTTCTAAGAAAATGACGCATTGCTACCAACGATACAATGATGTGACACCAATGTAACATCATCTTGGATGTTGGTTGGATAATATAGATCAATGTTAAGAACATTACTGTCAATACTGGTTCCAAACAAAACCTGAATCTACACTAATAAATTTGCTTCTACCTCATCAATCCTCAGTTCTCAAATTCCCATGTAGTCGATAGAGAAAATAAACAACAAAAAATCATATATAAATAAAGTATAAAATGAAATGCTGAAAACATAAGGGATGCACACAAATGGCAAATGTGCGTTTTAGTAAATTTACCTCACAGTAACGTCAAGAGCGCTGGAATTTGAAAATACAGGATAGCACTGTTAGAAGTGAAAGTTTGGGCCTTGAGTATCCCTGCCCCAAATTGTAGGAAATTCCTGTAATTTTCAAAAAAAAAAAAAAAACACAGAAGTATTATTATCAATAGGGCAGTGTTTAGCAAATTAAAGAAGCATAATTATGCGGAAAATTACAAGTGCTTGACTTTGGACTATAACAGTAGTTGCTTAGTTCACAATCCGAAAAGGCCATCTTGTCTCCATTTGTTGACCTAATAATCTTTTCATCCTGCAAGTAATCAGCCAGACTTAAGTGGGGAGAACAAAAACTCTAAAAGAGTAGATTAGGAAACGGAAGCAGCGAATAATTTTGACCAGGGCGGGAAAGGAATGCTTCCTCAATAAAGGGGCTAATTGAAAATGTATCCATCACTAGACACTAGGACGGTGGTGGCATATAGTTGAATGGTGTGTGGGACTAGAGTCACTTCTTCAAGGTGTTTTTGTCATGTTAGTGCCAAATTATTTATTTTTGTTTGATTAAGCATTTCCAAGCCATTTTAAACAACACTGAAGGTCTCAAGTTATGTGAAAGCAATTTTTTGGAGAAAATGTTAATTTGATGTTTATTGTAATGGAAACAACATTTTCATCTTTTTGCCTATAGCGGCTAATGACACTTAATTGACATCAAATAACAATATAAAATATATTCATAGCCTAGAATTATGTAATCAAATTATAAGGCATGACCATTGTCTAAGAAAATGAAAATAATATCAAATACTTTTTTTTGGTAGATAACATCACCTGGTTTATGAATCTTTTTCTTACACCAAGTCTAAAATATGAAATAATTAAAAGTTAAAGAATTGAAATGAGAAATTTGGGATAATTTATATAGTTTCAACCTTTTGATCTACACAAGAAGCTTTATAGATTGGATGGTTTGGTTTGGGTCACCGTATACTTATCACATCCCACTTGCTTGATTTGAATCCAGTTTCTCAAATTCTTTTTATTTGTCAATATCTAGAAATCTAAAATGGTAAGACATTGTTGCAAGTTTATCTCGAGTTGTTGACATTGGGTTAGGATGCAAATGGATTGGATCGGATTTGATTTGAGATATATTCAAATCCAATCTGATAATGTAAATCCTATATCATATCCAATCCCATAATCTGATAAATCTTCTCAATTGAAAGAGGTCTATATGCAATTGTCACCTGGATTTATCACTATGGGGGAGGACAAGGTTTTTCAGCTTCAAAAGTCATTGTACAAGCCTCTCGTTACTTGTTTGCCAAATTTTCCACTACTTTACTTGAAGCTGGTTATACGTAGTCTAAATCTGATTATTCTCTATTTATTCAACAAATTGGTGCCTCATTTACTGTTGTTATTGTTTATATAGATTATGCATTTGCCCTCGGCAATGATGCGACAACCATCAAGAAGTTGAAAGATGCGACAACCATCAAGAAGTTTTTCTCAACTCTAGATATTATCGTAAAGATATGGGCCAACTAAAATACTTTATCGGCATTGAAGTAGCGCACAATCGTGATGCCATTTTCCTCTATCAACAGAAATATGCCATGATATCTTATCTGACGCTGGTTTCTCTAATGCTCGATCTGCTGCCTTCCCTATGAAACAAAACAACAGTTTGGATAGAGATGACAATCCTCTTCTAATTGATCCATCCAAGTACAGACGCCTGATTGGCCTACTGCAATATCTTACCATTACCAGGCCCGACTTAGTCTTCTCTATGAATCTTCTCAGTCAGTTTCTTCAACATCCAGGTCATTGGCTTGCTGCACTACATATTTTATGCTACGTTGAAGGCACCATTGGTTTTTGAATTCTGTTATCTTTCTCTAGCGCCCTCTCATTCTAAATGCCTATTGTGATAGTGATTGGGATGGGTGCTCTTCCACCCGTAGGTCAATCATAGGCTATTGTATATTTTTCGGTACCAGCCCCATATCCTGAAAATCCAAGAAGCAAGTTACTGCTTTCAGATCATTTGCAAAAGCAGAATATCGAGCAATGGCCACCACAGCATATGAGATTCAGTGGCTCACGTACTTGCTTCATGACTTTAACGTTTCTTCCACTCCAGCTTGTCTGTTTTGTGACAATCAAGTCCCCTCTTTCTATCTCCAGCAATCCTATGTTGCTGATGTAATTGATTGCCACTTGGTATGAGAAAAAAAAAATTCAATCTAGACTCATTCAACGATCATTCATCTCATCCGCTCATAAGTTGCTGATGTATTCACCCAACCCTTGGTCATAAAAGCCTCATATTGCACATAGACAAGTTGGCTCATATACCCTTCCAACTTGAGAGGGAGTATCATCATATACATATGGCACATGCGAATTAGGATCTGCTCCTCACACAGGATGCCTCACAACGACCTCACAGGCATATCCCACCATGCATTGGGAATATCTCCTGTAAATAATAACACATAAGTACGGGAGATGTTCCCAATGCATGATGAAATGTGCCTGTAAGGTTAGTGTGAGGCACCATGTGTGAGGAACAGATTGGTCTCGGTGCATGCAACAATTCCAGTCCTATTAGGACTCTATCCACTGTTGTAATGGCACTATCTTATCCTCTCTCTCTCTCTCTCTCTCTCTCTCTCTCTCTCTCTCTCTCTTTCATCTCTATTTCTCTTATCCCTTCTCATTTCTATCTTCTACGATACACTTACACACAACTGTATGAATAATAGTGATTATCCTTTTTGTTTCGATTAGCATATTAAGCATCCTACCAGGACCATCTCTCAAGCAAAATCTATCACCAACCAACACAATCTAGAGGGCTCATCTCTCTCCCATTAGTGCCCAAGCCTTTGTTCTAGTGGAGGTAATTGAACCTTACTCACGTTTCTAAATGGACTAGTAAACGTGTATGTACATTTGCACGTGGCAGTATCTCTAAGACAAAACTATTTATAATGCATGGGCAGTTAAATAGTTATAAGTGGGTAGTTTCTGAATAGTGATGAGTGGGCATTTCCTGAAGTGAAAATAAAGGATGTATGCCCTCTTTATGCCCATTGTGTGCTTAGACAAGAGGAATAGAAAATGTCCAACAAAAACTCAAAAAAAAAACAGAGAAATTTGCTCTTTTATAGATAATATAGATATAGATTGCTCCACGTTAGGCTTTGGACTAGGTAAAACTTGGGCCATTTTATTGTTGGTGTTCTTGGAGGCTCTATCAAGCTTTTATTTTGGAAGGAGATTCTTGAGTCATCACTTAATTAGGCTCTATTAGAAGTCACTCACTGGATTCCTAGGCACCTTCTCAATCGCTTATCAAGGATTGCAGAACAATCCTTCCTTCTTCTGACGCTGTGGGAAATCGTACACAAATGCACAGAGATGCAAATCTAGTTGTCCATATTCTAGCTCATCATACTTTGTTTTCTTGGGATCTAATTCCTCTTGATTTTGTATCAATCAAATGCTTTCCTCGGCGATTTACCCTTGTATCCTTAATTTAAATGATTGATGAATGGAATTGCCTTCGGGCCTTACCGAAAAGCTAATGCACCATTTTGCTAAGGCCCAGTAGTATGTGTTCATGCCAATAAATGCTTTCTCTAACCTACAGAAATTTCTATGAAGATAGGGGGACTGCCACTACAACTGTACAACCATGGCTTGGTCTTCAAAACTATATGGTTAAATAAAATTTTAATTTATAAAGCGACAAGTATTGCTCTAACTCTGGTATTGTTTCCTAGTTCAAATTGGAAAGTTTATATCCTTCAATAACAATTCATACTTAATTTAGTTTTTTATCTTAAATAAAAATAGCAGAGAATAATATCGTTAGGCCCAGATCGGACCAGGTTGCCGGCCATTAGAACTAACAAATAAAAGACTACTTTTTATGCTCTTAGAAATGTTGATTTGGTCAAATCTACCTAAGATAGATAGGTTTTAATTTTATCAATTATAATATATAATATTTATTATTTTAAACTTATTTTGATATAAAATATCTTTGAAAGAAAAAGTGGAATTATTTGCTATCTTTCTTTTTTTTTTGCTATTTTTTTTATTTTATTTAGAAAGACCGATAAGGATCCTCTTCTTCTAGAAAAAGTGGATTGTTTAATTATAAATCAAATCTAATTGATTCTCTTCAATCAAATAAAAAAATTCAATTGGTGGGGCTTCTCTTTCAATTACATAGGCTAAATAAATTTTAATTCAAGATAAGTTCTACTCTAGTTCTGAAACTGTTTTGCTTCCTACTAGAAATGAGGAAGTTATCTCATATGTTTGAATTATAAATTAAACCTAATTTTGTTCCTTTGGCTACTTTTTGTTTGCAATGCAAATCTGAATCGGATCTAAATTTTGCACCTGGTTCAGTTTTGCATTGATTTATTTGTAACTATGATTTTCACTCTTGCCTCATGCAAGATCTGCATTGTTAATAGATGCAAATGAGACAAAATTTTGCATTTTTTTCGTCTCATTTGCATCCATTAACAATGCAAATTAAATTTTGCATTTGAAAAACTGGTGGAAAATTTGCACTACTTCCTCCTAAATTCCCTCCCATATTAAGTGGGACCACATCAATTTGCTTCCTACCTTAGTCCCAACAAATAATAAATAGCATTGTCTCATTTGTCTTTCATATAAATTGGGGATCCCATCATATTACTTTATATTTACTTCTTACAAACAAACCAAAATAAACCAAGATTTACATCCTATTTACTTGTGATTTTTTTAGGGACCAAAACAAGTAAAGTCAAATCTGAAACAAATTAATAAAGAGTAAACCAGGAGGTGTTGGCCCAATGTGTATATTTTGTTTTTAAAACCAAAAACAACCACCACATCAGCCAAATTATATAGCAGTTTTTTTTTCCAAAACAACACCATACACTGTGCTTTTTAATTACAAATTAAATAAAACTTAATTTAATCTGGAAAAAAACTCTACTCTGACTACTGCATAGTAGGAATGTGCAATGGGACGGATTTGGGGCAGGGATCATATTCTCTGTCCCTGCCCCCAATTCTGAAATTAATCCCCATTCTCGTCCCAGTGATCCCTATCAGGGAAAAAAAATTGTCCTCCATCCCCGATCCTCACGGGGATGGATTCTCAATGGGAATCCGAATCCTTGAATTTTTTTTTAGATAATAGTATTTTTTGAAAAGTAAATTTACTTAAAATATATAAAAAATTTAAATTACAAATAATGTTTTGATATATATATATATAATCTG